CTTCAAATTCATCCATCGCGTCATAATGTGGCAATTTTGAGCCCCTGTGATAGCATCCACGGGATAGCTGGCAGGAGCCGTCAAGACATGCTCCGGCTGAAGCAGCTCGGTGGAAGCCACGCTGCTTCTCCGCTGAGATGGCGGGGTAGCTTCGGCGGGTCGTTTGTTGCGATCTGCTTCTCTTTCCTCTAGCCCCATTACCCTTTCGTGCAACGCCTGCAGTTGGCTCTGCTCCAGTTTCTTCCTCCTCTTGTGGGTTTTGTAACCCCCTGCGTCCGGAAAACCAACCTTCCACGGAATGGAGCCTGGCGTGCCTCGTGTCCGTCCAGGGTGCTCAGGATTCCCGAGGGCCATTGTGAGCTCATCCTTCTCCCTGTCTGGAACGAACGTCCCTTGCTGCGCTGCATGGATATACTTCCGAAGCCTTGTGACTGGTGTTTTCAGCATAATGATACCAAGCCTCGGTATGAATGGCATATTTTCTAATCTTTCTAATCTTCAAGCGCATTGCATCCATCTTGATCTTGTGATCATCGACGACATCCGCAACATGCAACTCCAATATCATCTTCTCCTCCTCAATTTTTCTTATTTTTTTCTTCAAAAAATTGTTTTCTTTTTCAACTAAATTTAACCTCTCGACAATAGGGTCGGTTTGAATTTCTGGTTCAACAACCTCCTAGATAAATAAAATCTATGTCACATTGGTCGGCATATTTGTCATAAATAATAAAAGAACCAAATAGTTATGAAAAGATAATATATACCACATCCGAATCATAGACAAGATGAGGGCCGACGGGGGCGGATACCAAAACCATCGCACTATATAAGATGCAATAATAAAAGTAAGAAAATAATACAAGTATCTATCTAAACATACAAGTAAGAATATTTTTCCTTTCAGAAAGAAGATAAGAACAAGAGGCTCACCACGGTGGTGCCGGCGATGAGATCGGCGCGGGTGATCGACGGCGGTGAAGACGGGTATAGGGTGTGACAGACCGCTAAACCTAGACAAATATTGAGGAAAATGAAGCTTGGAGGTCGAGCTTGGAGAGGAGAAAGCTTAAATAGTGTGGCTCGGGCATTCCATCGAACACCTTGTGTGCATAGGAGGTGAGCTAGAGCACCACCAAGCCCTCTCCCCCTCGGCGGCCAGAAAAAATAGAGCAGTGTGCTCTGCTCTTACGCGAGGGGGTATATATAGGCACCTAATTGGTCCCGGTTGGTGGCATGAACCGGGACTAAAGGACAGCCTTTGGTCCCGGTTCAAGCCACAAAGCGGAACCAATGGTGGTGGGCCAGAAGCGAGGCCCATTGGTCCCGGTTCGTCCCACCAACCGGGACCAAAAGGTCCAGACGAAGCGGGACCAATGGCCCACGTGGCCCGGCCGGCCCCGGGGCTCACGAACTGGGTCCAATGCCACCATTGGTCCCGGTTCTGGACGGAACCGGGACTAATGGGCTGACCCGGCCTGGACCAATGCTCCATTTTCTACTAGTGAGAAGGGTAATATTTCCTTCTGTGCATTCTAACGATACCATGGCAGCTTGAAGCATGGCAGTTTAGTCGTCCACCAAAACCAAAAGAACACCCAATATTTTTCCTAATATATACTCCCTCTATTGCAAACGATAAGGTACATGCATGCATCTCAAAATTCAATTTTAACTATAAATTAGATCAATCAAATATGGTTTATATGTGAAAAAAATTATATCGAAGGAGTTCAATGGTATAATTTTGAGATGCTTGTGCGCCTTACATTCATTGGAATGGTGGGAGCATATGTTTCACATGGCGTCATGTCCCATTATGTCATTTGCAAATGAGGGAAAAGGGCTCCACTCCGCTTTGTGCAAAGCAGCTAGTTTACCAGGTCGGACAAATTTGGGTAGGTCCCTGTGCATCATGGGAATAACATCCACGGCATAGACTCCCGGTCCATTGGTCTTTGAAATACTTGCACTTAGTAAAATGTGCTTGTTTGGCTTGATTGGTTGTAGACGACTGAATAAAAGACAAGGACTCCCGTTCCATTGGTCTTTAAAATACTTGCACTTAGTGATGTTGTCTCCACTACTTAACTACTCAATTATGCAAGCATGATGTGTTTGTTAAAACTCTCCACTACTTAACTACTTAACTACTTAATTTGAGTAAGCCCCTTAATTAGTTTAGCCTTCCGCAAAAGAAGGTGAGTTGTATGCGGCCTTTGTGTAGCATCGTGTAGACCGTGAACGTCCCAATCAAGCCAAACAAACAAATTGGCCGGCATCACGACATGTTACTTACTTTTTTTGCAAGAACGATAAATTGCCTATTGCTAAATATACAAACGCATTGTCTTATTTGTTGGCCATCACCCGTCAGCCAACAAATGGTGACTCACATGCATTGTTGTGACGTTGATTCCAAAGCATTCTTGGTCATATGTGAGACAAATATACACGTCATTCAAACTGGATCGAATTACGTATGGTATACATGTCATCTTTTTTGGAGAAGACTTGACTTAAGCGTAACCCAAACCTTATATTCCTAGGGGCACGCACGGCGGTGCACACATGCATGAGGCCACCGGATTACTTCTATATTCAAAAGGTTTTTGGTCATTTGCATGTGTTTTACATGCCATGCATGTAGTTTTAGGCAGAGTTGCATGCTCCACCCATCCCACCTTTCATTTTTTTTAATTTCTTCTCCAAATTTGAATCTCTTATGTCTTTTCAACAAAATGTCCAATTTAATTTTCATGTGCATGTTTTTGAATCTTGTGACAAGGAAAAAAAAGAGCACTCTTGAATAGATTATGACAACTTCTAAAATTTTACTAAGTTCTAAATATTTAAACTTGATGGTCGTAAAATTAAGTTTTTACCAAGTTTCCTTTTCTTTGAAGGATTAGGGGTTAGGGTAAGTGTTTTGGGATTAGGGCTTATAGTTTAGAGGTTAGAGGTTAGGGTTTAGTGTTTAAGTTTTACTTTCTGAAACTTGGTGAATTTATCATTCGTTCATATCAAGTTTTAGTAGTCGAAAGTTGGTGAATTTTTTAAAACTTGTCAAAACATATTCAAGATATATCTAGTTTCAAAGCCCTCATCACAAGGAACACAAATATACAAACAAAATATAAATTGGACTTTTGGTCCAAAAGATACAATAGATACAAATTTGAAAGTAAGAAGAAAAACATGAGAGGTGGGGTGGGTGGAGTATCACTCTTCGCCAAAAGCTGCCAAAAAACTACATGCATGAACCACACCCGAAGTAATTAAGCCCTAAACACATGCACACATTCTTGAATTTTGATGCCACCATGTGGCCCAAAATGTCCATGTCGCTGCATGTGCGTGTGATAAATCGCCTCTCCCAAACCTACCCAAAGAAGCAGCAAATGGTTTTTTTTCAATATATAGATGGTTCATTCTTTCACCTTATTACAATTTAGGAGGATTCGATAATTTCATGTGTACTTGATATGTTGCTTGAAATTTACTTTTATGGACGAAGCAAGTAAGCATAGATTAATAGGAAATTGGTTGGTCATAACACTTGGATTTAATTAAGAAGCCAGACCATGACTAGCGGATAAAACGGTAGCCATATGGTAGTATTGTCTTGTGAAAGATAAAAGAATAAAGCCTTGGATATATCAATGTAAAGATATGATATATGACATAAATGAGGGCAAAACAAAGGGAGAACATTATCTTTTTAGTCGCAAGGAGATAATAATCCAAGACATGTGCATTACTATTTTTCATGCCCCGTACATAACGGATTATTATCAGCACACTACCGGATGACTGTGAGATGAATGCAGATGCTCATCAAGTTGAACCTAAGCACTTTGAGATGAATGCAGATGCTCATCAAGTTGAACCTAAGCACATGGTGTGTTTGAGGTCAGTGGCGGAGGTAGAACCTTTGTGAGGAACCGGAGAACAACATATAAAATAGGACCACACAATCAACTGTTTGAGTACACAACATACAAAATAACACCGAATAGTCAGGTATTCGAATACGAAACATAAAAAATAGCACCAAACTTTTGAACCTCAAGTCCACATTAATAATGAAGTGAAATTGTGAATACAGTAGTCATAGAGAGGTAGCTTCAAAGTAAACTAATAAGCAATGCATTAATATTTAGTTTCACAGAAGAAAAAAATAAAGTTGAGATTTGACAACATAAGTCCTGGAACCAAACTCACTATGTTGCCGCACAAGTATAACTATCCAAATTACCATCCAAACATTCGAAAAGATACTAGAACTCAAAAAGAATTAAATTCACATAAATTGCGTGTACAGAACAAACCCCTAAATCAAAGGCTAAACTCAAGAAGTCATGATCATACTCGGCAGGTAGGATTTTCCGTGAATGTGGTTCGCTAGGTAACTACTTGGATCGATCGTATATATGATTTTGAGCACATGCTCAATATTATTCATTGCCGGTCCCAAAGCCAGGGAAGAGGAAGAGGGTCCAACCATATATAATTTGATAATTATTCGCAAAGATTCATGCTTTTTTTCAATATTACCATATTGCCTTTTTTCCAGTTAACCTTTTTTTTCCTTTTTTTTGTTTGATGGGGTTGCCAGACTGTCTAAAGGGACCAAATTTTTTTGGTTTTAATTAATGTTCAGTCTCTGATTTGTCCGTTTTTTAGGCTTACAAACCAAAACTAGACCAGATATACTCTCTCTGTAAACTAATATAAGAGCATTTAGATCACTACTTTAGTGATCTAAACGCTCTTATATTAGTTTACAGATGGAGTATTTCTTTTTCTATTTAGGAATTTTATAGTAATGCTACTACAGAGTACTCTAGAAGATTAGCAGTCCTTGTTTGAAACTTTGGTGACAGTTGACAGCGAACTATACTACGGAGTACTCCGGTATAAATGCAGAGGAAGCAGAGAGGAGACAATTGCAGACCATCCAGTCATCCAGAGCCCAGGATACGTCGACGACGGCAGCCATGTCCGCCGCGTACGACCGCACGGCCGAACTCCGAGCGCTGGACACCACCTGCTCCGGCGTCCGCGGCCTCGCCGCCTCCGGCATCACGCAGCTCCCCCGCATTTTCCGCGTCCCTGACCACCACCACCACGAATCACCGCCACCGCAAGCTCTCTTCCAAGAATCACCCTTGTCAGCGGCGACCATCCCGGTGATTGACCTCGGCGGCCCCGACCGCGGCGCCGTGGTCGCTGCCGTCCGCCGTGCCGCGGCGGAGTGGGGATTCTTCCAGGTGACGGGTCACGGTGTGCCTCTCGAGTCAATGGCCGCGGCGACGGACGCGGCGCGGGGATTCCACGAAGCCGACGGCTGCGAGGGCAGCGACAAGGCCAGGCTCTACTCGCGTGAGCCTGACAAGGCGGTCAAGTACCACTGCAACTTCGACCTGCACCAGTCGCCGGTGGCGAACTGGCGCGACACGCTCTACCTCCGCATGGCCCCCGACCCGCCCGACGACGGCGACCTGCCGGATAGCTGCCGGTGAGTGCTCTGCAGGTTCCCGAACTGTAATTCCTCATGGAGATTCGATTGCTTGCTTCAGAGTTGAGAGTATATGATGATTGCATGATTTTCATGGTGGGAATGGAAACACCTTCACAGTTTCTATTAATGTGATATTTCTCATTGAAATGAAATAAGTTCTTCTTAAACCGTACTAGTTACTGTAGTAGGTAAATGAGATTTACTATTAATATGTATTCTATTTTATTTATCATAGATACTATTGCAAATATCATTTCTTGTCTTTCTTTGCGTTTTTATCACATGAGCAATCTACAGGTAGTACTAATGGTTACTCCTTCCATTTCTAAATATAAGTCTTTTTAAAGATTCCAATACGGACTAAATATGGAGCAAAATAAGTGAATCTACACTCTAGAATGCGTCTATATACATCCGTTTGTAGTCTTTATTAAAACCTCTACAAGGACTTATATTTAGAACCGAGGAAGTAGTTTATATCTCAATGGAATATGTATTGTTAGTGTGAGTTCTTGACTATTGAAAACATGTCAAGAGTTAAATTGTCCAGTGAAATCACTTCCCAGCCCTTTTTGTTGTGAATTTTCAGTAATGTTTATGTAAATGACCTGTTTCAAAAAAAAAGAATCGGCGCTAACATGTTGATTTGCAGCGATGTGTTGTTTGAATACGCCAAGCAATTAAAGGACTTGGGGAAAACTTTGTTCGATCTGCTCTCGGAAGCTCTTGGGCTCAAACCGAGCTACCTGACAGATATAGAGTGCAACCAAGGGCAGGTGATAGTATGTCACTACTACCCTCCATGCCCCCAGCCTGAACTCGCCATCGGGACAAGCCGGCATTCAGACTATGGCTTCCTAACCATACTTCTCCAAGACGAAATTGGCGGCCTTCAAGTCCTCCATGATGACCGGTGGGTCGATGTAGCACCGACACCCGGAGCATTCATCGTGAACATCGGTGATCTCTTACAGGTATCTATATTGTGATACTGTGATACATCTCATTCTGAATTGTCTGTTAAACATATGGGTGTCATCCCTGATCATTCTGAGCTGTTTTGTTTTGGTAAAACAATGTTCAGCTGGTCTCCAATGACGGGTTCAGGAGTGTGGAACATAGAGTTTTGACGAAGAACACTGCACCGAGGGTATCGATCGCGTGCTTCTTCAGCACGCAATTCCACCCTGCCTCGACGAGGATGTATGGTCCAATCAAGGAGCTGTTGTCCAATGAGAACCCGCCGTTGTACAGGGAGACCCTTGTCAGAGATTACGTGAAGCATTACTTCTCCATCGGGTTAGATGGAAAAACCGCGATCTCTGATTTCATGTTGTGAGTTGTGAAGGTGAGTTTATGTCCTACTTGTCTAATGCTAAGAAAGTGAATGTAAAATGGCAGTGTAACTGCCAGAATACTGTATGGACGCCTAAATTGTACATGAGTGTACTATTTGGTCTTATTGTGCACCGGTACAGTAGCATAACTAGTACACTACAAAATCTTCACCAGATTCAAGTTTCTCGCATGGTTTGTGAACATCTTCCCTTAACTATGCTTCATGTCAGATCTTGTAATAACATAGGTCGGATCTATGCAGCCGAAGGACCCGCCTACGGTCGGGCCGGCAGGCATCGAATTCTTTCCTGTAAAAGTCTTGATTGCCATCCATTTTTGTTTGTGCTGTTTGATCATCATAGTGCCCAAACTGCTCAATCTTCACCCATTTTTCCTCTTCTATGAGAAAGAGCTGCTACTCCATATAAATCAAGAGAGGTCTTGCTAGGAAGAAGACAATCCTAGTCAGTTAGTTAAGCAATGGAGTAAATTGCACAAAACCACCACTTTGAGGGCTAGGTTTTCAGAAAACACTAGGTTACAGTTTCTTAACAAATTGCACCGTATCTCTCGTAAACATTTTGCAGAAACCACTGATCGGCGGATAAGCCTTGTTTGATCACGCTTATGACAGGTGGGGCCCTTTTTTGCCTATGTGGCGTAACATTTTGTGCCAGATCAATTTTAATATGAATTTACAAACTAGTCCTTACATTTTACACAGAAACCCCTGAATCAAAAAGAAAAAATGCAATTAGCCCCCACTCCCTTCGATCCCTTCTCTCCCTTCGATCCCCATTTCTCCCTTCGCCGCCAGATCCTTCGCTCGGTGCCGACGCACACGAGGCCGGGCAGCCACTCCCTCGCGTGACATGCCGCGGCCTCCTCTCTCCTTCTCCGTCCTCGGTGGCCGTGGAGTGCAGACTCCTGTCTCCTCCCTGCGCGAAGCGCGGCGGCACCGAGCGAGCAAAGCGGCGATGGCGCCGGCGGAGCAGAGCGACGGTCGCGTGGCGGGTCGGCCATTGCGCTGCCGCCGTCCTTGCTTGAACAACACGGTTGCACCGGCGGAGGAAGGTGAGGACGGCCTGGCGGCTGGTCGTCCGACGCGGCGGTAGCGCTGGCGCTGGACAGCATCCGGCAGCAGCTCCTGGAGGAGCCGGTGGCGCAGGCGCAGCCAGCATACTGCCGGAGCGCGAGCTTCGGTAGCCTCGTGGCGGACCAGTGGAGCGAGTCGCTCCCGTTCCGGCCCAACGACGCCGACGACATGGTCGTCGACGACGCCTTCCGTGATGCCTTCTCCTGCGACTGGCTCCCCGACGGCTCCTTTGCGGCCGTCAAGCCCGAGCCCCTGCCCTTCCCGACTCCTACGACGGCTCCTGCCTCAGCAGCTTCCTCGCGCCGCTTTTACTCTCAGCCACGACGGAGGATGTGTCCTGCTCGAGCCCCACAGCATGGCTGCACCGGCAGCGGAAGGAGGACGGCGATGGTGTGCGGGAGAGACAGATCCCGATCTGAATCGGGGAGGGTGTTTTCGCTTTTTGGCAAAAATGTTGGGGGTGTTTTCGCTTTTTTACCCATCTAATGTTGTCTTTGGTAAAACGATGTGCCACATCAGCAAAATAGGGGCCCCATCTGTCATAAATGCACTTAACCGAGCCAGATCCGCCAATCAGTGGTTTTTGCAAAAAGATTACACAAGACATGATGCAATTTGTCAAGAAACTGTAACCTAATGTTTTCTGAAAACCTAGCCCTCAAAGTGGTGGTTTTCTGCAATTCACTGTAAGCAATGGTTCGAAGAGCACGGAGATGGGGCTGCTGTCCTGCAGACGGAGTGCTTGCCGGAGACCCACCGGTGGCTCCCCTCAGCCGTGCCATTTACGGAGGCATTGGCAACTCTCTTGAGCTTCACCCTGAACTCCATCTTCTGGCACATCAAACAGCATATTCGTCACCGTCCCGACGGTGATGTCCTCCGTGGCGACGAACCTCCACGTTTCACATTAACAAGGGATCCCCGATGTTAGTCACAGCGCGCTTGACGTCAGTCTCCGGTGTGACCGGCGTAAGCGTAACCAATCGATGGGGTAGTTGAGATCCTTTCCGTGGATCAGTGACGGACTTAGGAACAGAGAGCATCTCTAACCGATCCCCTAAAAGTTGTAAGAGGATAAATTTGGTTTTCCTCCTTTACATGGCACCTAAACCTGATCATTTCATGGGCCGGGTCAGGTTCGGGCCGGGCTTGGCAAAACCCAAAGAAAAAATTCCAAACCTGAACCTGGACCAAGCACATGAACAGTGCGTTTTTTAATTAAATAAAATAAATTCAGGATATATATTATATTAATATATTATACCTGTATTTCAAATATATATATATATATGTATATGACCATTTTGGGCTTTTGGGCCGGGCTTCAGGCTATAAAGTGAAGCCCAAACCCGGCCCGGATGTTGGGCTTCGTATTCGGGCCTTCGGGTCGGGTTGTCATGCACAGGCTTAATGGCACCTAACCGACCATCGTCGTATGGATGGTCCTATGACATCTAGATAGCTCCGAAATTTGCCTCCTCCGATCTACACCTATTTCGTCCTGAATTGTTCCCGCGAGATTCTTGATTCATAAAGAAGAGATTGAAATAGGATAAAGAAGAGGCCGGAATAGGATAAGGCCCATTTAGATCCCTGGATGACCACATAAACAAACGAAATCACTAATTAAGGAGTACTCCTTGCGGAGATCACTCCAACTTCTCCAGGTTGCGACAAGTGGCGCGCTGCATGTGCGCCACTTATCGCAACCTGGGAGTTTTTCCTTTTTTTCGTAGATCCGTTTATTCAAAATGTTTTATCTCTTAAACCGTGTGTTCAAATCTCGAACCGCTTTCGTCATTGGATTGCTCGCGTCGAGATCTTCAAAACTAGATCCCATGTTGATAGGTTTTGACAAACTTTTTTTCACGAAAAAACCGGATAAAAAAACCGACGAAAAAACCGAACCGGAAACACGGTTTTTTTCCCTTTCCGAAAGAGGCACGCCCGTGCCTCTGACGAAAACACAATCGTGCCTCTGGTGAAAGCAAAACCGTGCCTCTCGTGAAAGAAAAAAAAACAAAAAACACATTTTTTTCCTTTTCCGAAAGAGGCACGCCGTGCCTCTCGCGAAAGCACAACCGTGCCACTGTCGGAAGCAAAACTGTGCCTCTCGCGAAAAAAAAAACAGAAAACGCATTTTTTTCCTTTCCGAAAGAGGCACACCCGTGCCCCTCGCGAAAGCACAACCGTGCCTCTGGCGGAAGCAAAACCGTGCCTCTCGCGAAACAAAAAAAAATAGAAAACGCGTTTTTTTCCTTTCCGAAAGAGGCACGCCCGTGCCTCTCGCGAAAGCACAACCGTGCCTCTCGCGAAAGAAAAAAAAACAGAAAACGCGTTTTTTCCCTTTCCGAAAGAGGCACGCCCGTGCCTCTCGCGAAAGCACAACCGTGCCTCTGGCGGAAGCAAAACCGTGCCTCTCGCGAAAGAAAAAAAAACAGAAAACGCGTTTTTTTCCTTTCCGAAAGAGGCACGCCCGTACCTCTCGCGAAAGCACAACCGTGCCTCTGGCGAAAGCAAAATCGTGCCTCTCGCGAAAAAAAATGCATTTTTTTGCGCAAAAAAATTTTTTTCAAAAAAAAAATTTGGTTGAAGAGCTAGGGAAGACCGGTAGAAAAAAAAAACCTTTTTAAAAGCGGAAAACGCGTGCGTAAAAATAAAAAAACAAAATCCAGAGAAAGCGCCCAGAGCGCGACATGTGGCAAATGACTGTGAGCGCGCCAAGTGGCGCTGATCGTTGCGAGGCTCCCGAGAGAGCACTCGTTAATTAGTTACTCCCATAAACGAAGGAGACATCGGGAGACTTGTTATATATGCGCCTCCAACCCTAGCCTCTTCAGTCCACTCCCCTCCACCCCTAGCTTAGTTTATAAAGTACAGATATGGAATTTATTAGAGCATTTACAGCTAGACCATTCAAACCCGCCTCATACGTCCGGGCGGGCCGCCTGGTCACCGACCTATTTTCGACCCAGACGGAAGCCTGAAACGGGCCTCAAATGCCCAGGCTGACCGGCACCCCACTATCCAGCCCAAATATGGGGCGGATATGAGGGCGCCCGGGCACGCTGGAGCACGCTCGCCACGTCCGAGCTAGCCCACCCAACCCCATTTATATTCTTCCTCATTTGCTCGCCGGAGCAAACCCTAGCCTCTTCAGTCCACTCCCCTCCACCACCTGAGCTCACCTCCGGCAGTTTCTGGCCTTCTCCGGCATGGCAGGGAGCGGATCTAACTCCGACCAGTCCAGATCCGCATTGCACTCCGCCGCTCCCGGGAGGACAGCGCCTGGCCGACGGACGGATACGTCCACCGCGACACCATAGCGTCGGCTCACCGGGCGCTCGGGTCCTCTGGTGCTAGATCCTCGCGGTCCTGGCCGGAACACCTCTCCTACTCCATCACCGGTTGGTAGAGTATGAGTCCCACCGGGAACGGGCGGCCCGCCTTGGGAAGGAGAGGATAAGGGCCACCGAGGGCCGTATCGCGGCGGAAATGGCGGTGGTAGAGGCGGCTGATGCGGCTACGTTGACGGCCGCAGAAGAGGAAGCCATCCACGCCCGCATTATGAAGAAACAGCAGCCGAGGAACACACGCGCCCTCTGCAAGAGCAGAATTGGGCGTTATGTGCCATGACCGGACTGACACCGAAAGAGGAGAAGGAGGACAGTGACGGCGAGGGCAGCTTCGACGACGAGCAGATCCGGCTTGATCCGTACTGTGTTTTCGACTGGTGCTTCCGCGAGAAGGATGGCAGGGGTGCCGGGAAGGGCAAGGGCAGCCATGGATGAACTCCACCGTAGCCAAACATGTCAAATTTTGGTAGTCCGATGGCATGTTTAGTGCAGTGTGATGAAGTAGTCGGACAATGCGTGTGCATCGACGTAGTTGCATGAGTTTGTATG